GCAAAGCCACCACAGAGGCCACAGGGAACACGTGTGGCACTGGTGGCTGGCTCCGCAGGCTTCCTGCGCGGCCCCTCAGTAACTGAGTGTGTCAAGGTGGCGCTTGCAACCCCCGAGGGCGCCCCCGTCTTCCTCCTCCTTTCTGGGCCCTCAACTGGAACCAGGGTTCTTATTGGTCACGTGCTGCAACCCCAACCTTGGCAGGTGACAGGAAGGAGCTCAAGTGCCCCTCTAGGCCCTAGGAGGGGAAAGCCGACCCCATGAGAGAAGCCCGGCCTGATACCTCGGGCTCCTGGGACGGCTCCAGGGGGCGGGTTTCCAGGAGTAGGGTGGCCAAGGCTGGCTGAAGGCGTCACGGCAGCCTGGTAGGCATCACCCTGCAGCAAGGGCCCCTGGGTGTCACGGGTCCCAGGCCCAGGGCGCACGGCGTTGGCCACCACCTCTGCAGCCTTCTGGATGGTGGAGAGAAAGGCTTCGCCCGCAGAGCCTGTGCCAGAGGGACCAGGAGATGGCACCAGCCCCCTGGGGCTGACCCCACGTTCCCCCAGGACGAGGCGCCCACACTGCCCCCTGCTCAAGGCTCGCAGGAGCAGGGCGCAAGCTGTAGGCAGAGCAGAGGCCATGTGGCCGGAGCCTGGGCCCTTCCAGAAGCTTCCTGCGAAACCTACTTCAGTGCACTTGCAGGCCCGATGGACCTTATGGCAGAGCTCAGCCACCTCCGAGCAAGGGGCCTCCTGAGGGCCTTGTCCAGACAAGCGGGCAGGGGGCTCTCCATGAGTGCAGACAGCTGAACCAGCCAGCAGCCCCAATGGAAGACCTGGCCAGGCCCTAGTGGCACAGCCACTTGAGGACACAGTGCTTCAGGAGTGGAGTGGGGTGGGACAAGCCGTGACCAGTATGGTCGGCACAGCAGCTGGACTTGGCCCAGAGAGCCCACGCGAGCCTCACACGCACTCCCAGCAGACTGGGCTGGCGCTGTCCACTTGTCATGACTGGCCACTCCTGCTCTAAGTTACCTCTGTCACAGTCAGCCCTCGCCCTCTACCCTTGGCCCTTCGAAGGACCCAGGGGCTGGGGGCCAGAGCTAGGGACTGACCCTCGTCTGGGCTTCCTGCAGGTTGGTTAAGTGGACTCAGCTGTGCCTGCCCTGCCCTCCCACAGACCCAGGCAAAGACAATGACAGAGTGGTCAACGCATGGGCCCCGGGCTCTGGCCCCAGGGCCCTCCAGACCCTTGGCCAGGCAAGCAGCCTGCCCCCACCCCACGAGCCCACGCAGCACTCACCTGTGTGGCCCTGACTCCTGCTGTAGCCAAAGCCCTGGAGAGCGCTCTGGGGCCTGGACTGGGAGCCCATGCCTGCGGGAGGGCCGCGTCAGCAGCACGCACGCTGCCCACCCCGACCCCACGACCCCGGGGTGGGTGCCCTGCTACGGAGCTGGACTCGGTTACGTACCTGCTGCAGGCAGCGCCCTGGAGGGCTGGGAGGGAGGCGGAGGGGGCGTGTCCGAGAACAGGGCGCTGCCCAAGTCCTAGACGGAAGAGGGGGCGCTCAACGTCGCTCCAGGTCGGTCTGTCCACCTCTCCCCCCACGCCCGCCCCTGCCACTTCTCTCTGAAGAGCACACGCGAGGGCTCTGGCCCCACAGCAGCTGTGGTCACAGGGGCGACCTGGGTCCAGGCTCACCTGGGCAGCCGCCCGCACCTTCTGGTACAAGCTGCTCCCGTGGAGGGGATCCGGGGGTCCAGTGAAAGCTGCAGGGAGGGGTAGGGAGGGGCAGCGTCAGAGCCCCCCCAGGCCTCCGGCACGGCCAGCTCCCCGCACCTCCAGTCAGGGTGCGCCTCCTGAGATGGAGTCTGGCCCTAAGCCCCGTATAGCATCACTTTCAGGTCAAACCCCCTTCTGTGCCTCAGCCCTGGGGGAGCCCCACTTCCCAGAGCACCTCTGCTCCTGGCACAAAGCCTGAGGGGCCTCAGATCCCCCTCCTCCAGGCCCCGCCGTCCCCAAGCTGGGGGAGGCTGGGCCACCACAGCCCCCACCTCGCCCGCACTGGCAGACGGGGATCTGACCTCCAGAAGTGACCACGGTGCCTCCCCTCCCCCTGCCCACTGCAGTCTCCCGACTTCCAGCGTCGGCCACCTAACTGCCTCCCCTTCTCTGCTTTCCACCCAGCGGTCACACAAACAGCGTCCCGTCCACATCGAAACCTTCAGAGGTTCGCAGGGACCCGAGAAAAAACCCAAGTTCCTCTTCACGGCGTGAGAGGCTCCCTGGGCCCCAGCCCTAGCTCCGCCGTGCCAGGCGCCCCACTCAGAGAGCTTCAGCTGCCCCAGGGCCTGGCAAATGCTGGGCCCCATCGCTGCAAGTGGCCCCCTCCGCCTCGTCCCAAGAGCAGGCACCCCTGGTTTCCTTGTCACAAACACGCATCACTTGAAGCCTTCAGACTTGGCTTCGCCCCTGCGGCCAGCCCCGCAGCCTGGTCCAGCCAGGACAGGCCGCCAGAGGCTGAGCAACACAGTGGGCAGCGAACGCCTCCCTGCTGTCCCAACCGTGGCCCCACCTTCCCCACAAGGCCTGAGACTCACGCTACAGGAGACCCATGCGGTGGCCCAGACGCTCGGCCGGCCCTCTAGTGTGAGCGCGGCATCCTCTGCGTGCCCCTCCTGGCCCAGCACCACCCTCGCCTCGCACGAGCCCCTCGGCCATCGCCCTGGGAGCCGTGCTCAGAGCACACAGGCCAACAAATAACTGCAGGCCTCTGACAAGCTACGGCTGCTGCGGGTCGCCCACAGTGGGTGGTGTCACCGGCGAGAGGCTCTTCTCGGGCTGCCCGCTCAGGGCCGGGGCAGGGCTGAGCCTCTCGCCCCTGGAGAGGAAGACCTCAGGCCACATGCCCACCAGTCCTCGTTAGCCACAAAGACGCACAACGTCCCCCGCCTGGATCACGACAGGCCAGAGTCCCCTCTCCCAACGCCTCCCAGTCCAGCCCCCACAGCCCTTCCCAGAGCTGATGGCTCAATAGTGCTCTTTCCTTCTCGGGTCTGAGGAGCATCCCTGGGGAGGTGGAGCCCATGGCGCAGGAGGGTGATGCAGACACTCGTTGTGCACCTACTGTGTGCCAAGCCCTGGGACAGATGGGAAAGGTCTGGCGGCCACAGACAGAAATAGTAGCTATGCACCAGCGCAGCACACACAGCAACGCGGCAGAAGGCGCTGAAGGAGCAGGGCTGGACAAAGCTGGCCGCAGGAGAGGTGGCCGGCCGGGCGGGGGGCCCGGGCGAGGAGCGTGGGTGAGCATGCGCTGGTGAGGTGCAGGCACGTTAAGGGGTTCTGGCTGCAACCGGACCTGGCTGCTCCCCACGGCCCGTACCTGCCGCCTCCTGGATCAAGGCGGGGTTGCGCTTCAGGATGAGCAGGAAGGACGGGGAGCCGTGAGTGCACAGGTAGAGCAGGATCTTCAGCACCTGGGGGGACAGTCACATGGGTTCCCTCAGCCCACACACCTCCCTCTCGCCTCAGCACCACGGGCAGGAACTCGGCCGGCCTCACCTTGAGCTTCACGCGGCCAGAGCCGCCGTGCAGGCGGTCCAGGAGGTACTCCAGGAGGCAGTGGCTGCTGCCCGGGGACTCGTGGGAGATCTCTGGGAGGCTCGGGTTAGGGAAGGCCTCGCTGCCACTGAACTTGGCGCACCCGCCCCAGGCCCTGGTTTCAGAAGCCTCAGGCTCCTAAAATGTTCTGAGCCCTGTGTCATCGGTACTGTGGCTTTCAGACCCCGCCCACAGCTGGTTAGTATGTGAAGGGGCCACAAAACCCCTTAAGGACAGGAGAGCCCCAGGGTCCCTGAATGTGGACACAGGAAGGATACTGGCGATCTCTTCAAACAGATAGCCAGGACACGGGATGTCGTCATCTGATGTTCCCTTCAGGAGAACTGGGAGCTGAAAGGTAGCAAGAGACCCGCCCATGAGTGACTGTGGTACCTGGGGAAGGACCACAGCCACCAAGGGGCCGGTCATTCTTGAGGGGCTGTCAGAGTCCTAGCTTTGGGAGCACCCGTGTCCGTGTCTCACTGGTGAGGGCGCCCAGAGAGGGCAGCGATGGTGCCACCAGCCTGCAGGAGCCTCCCAGTCTCTGGGGCGATAGGACCCTGCCCTCCAGCGCCTCACACCGCAGCGCCTCAGTTTTTCACGGGAGCCCTCTCTCCTCTCGCCTTCCCCTTAACCGCCCCAGTCTCCTGGCACCGACGGGAAGGGAGCCCGAGCCTCCCGCTGCAGGCAGCGTCGCCGGCGGTTTCTCCCGCTTCCCAGACTAGGGTCCGGCTGTTTATCCCGAACACGGTTCTCTATGTTTCTATTTCTGTAAAGCTT